TAAATCGAGCTGTCGCCCCCTAATGTGGTCGCCGTCCAATCCCCCCCACCCACATCCGTGGGACGTGGATGATTTACCGACTGCGGCATGCGTTTACATGAGTACGCCCCCCCCCCCGACCCCCTCCCCAATATGCCGCTTGGCGTCTTTGTCTCACAGGGACGCACGCACCTAAGGTTGTGAGCCGGGTCCGTGGAGATGATGAGCACACTTTCTCGCGCCTTCGACATCTGCAAACGTCGGCAAAGCGAGGGCACCGGAGTTGGTAGCGAGATGCCAAAATCGGACACGAAGCGATTGCGATAGACGATCAAGCACAGCGGCAGGTTTCGAATTGAACGCAACGAAGTGGGTGTGATAGTTTGTGGTTTTAAGTCGCTGCAGAAGTTTGCAACGAGCAACGGCTTGTGAAAGGGCATCGTGGATATCTCCTTTCCGTCTGATTTGCGTGTGCTTCGAGACTCTGCGCATTTTGGCCGTCGACGTTACAGCACGCACGCATGCATCTGTTCTCTGTCCCAAACGGAATACCTTGTACGTGAAAAAAGCGTCGCTGTTGGCATGAGAATCACGACCGGGAACTTGGAACTTCTTTTAAAGAAAGCAAACCAACCCCCCCCCGCAAAAATTCAGTATCCGGTAGGCGCCTCCGATTCATGGTTTTGGTGAACATTGGCGTGGGTGCACAAATTTTCAACTTCGCTGTCAACGCTGAAAGAGGGATGACGGCTGTTAATGTATGACTCGTTCATTCCTTCTCGCGCTGAAAATGAAGGAACTACCGCGCAAGGGAGGCCGAGAGAAAAAAACAACACGGACAAAATAACGCGTGGCCTTCCTAATGTTGCGATGCCCCGGCTGCCGGTGGTGCGTCCGAAATCATACCGAAAGAAAGGCGCTGTTACATTATAGGGTATCCACTATGGATTGACGCGGAATTTTGACCTTTGAGGATTGACGCCAACATAAAGTGACGGTTGAGGGGTTTGACGGGAAAAAATTCGCACCGCGTGTGCCCGTTGACACGTGAGAGGTGAAAAAAAAAAAAATGGTGGAGGTAGAGTTCAAGGTTGGTTCGGGCTGCCACCCAGGGTCGACATTCCGAAGCGAAGACTCACACCCCCAGGCTCCCAGGAGACTAGGTGTACCCCTTCGCCTCATCCCGCCGACCTTCCCTCCTTTGCCGCGGCGACTTTTCCCAGGCGTCAAACTGCGACTTCCCAGGCGTCAAACTGCCGTTCGTTGCTGATGAGTAAGGCAGCTGCTCGCTGCACTGCTGTGTATATACCGATGTCACTGCGGCAGCAGAGCACCGAACCCCGTGAGGGGGCGGGCGAAATGCACCTACTGACTGGCAAAGTCCGTGTACCCTCCCTTACTCCTCTCCATGTGCTCCCTTCGAGGGCGAGACTCCCCCAATCACTCCCCTGCCTATGCCCCTTTTTGCTGCTGAAAGCCCGTGCGCAATCGCGACGGCGCATCTACCGAACGCGCGCGCCGAACACGCGCGTCTGGCCACTTGGCCGCCGTGAGAACTGCGGAGACGCGTGGGTGCAGGACCGCTAGGAGCAATCAGTATAGGCATGGCCAATGTGTTCGCTGCTGACCGCGCACAGCAGACCGCAGCAGAGCAAGCGTGTGTGAGCCACAGTCTGGCGATGTTTGAAGCGTCAATCTTTTCGCGTCGGTTTAAGTTTGGGTGAAATTTAATTTTGACGCTTCCTCACAAAAATTTCGCCGTCAGAGTTTGCCCCCAAAAAAGCGGCGCAACCTCTTCACGTCAAAACTTCCTGAAATGTCAATCTTTCACGTCATTTCAACAACACGTGGATTCCCTCTATTGACTTCCGAATACACGTGGGGAAGAAGGCAACCACGCAACACACAATCCCATGACGCCCCCTCGCGGGGTCCCAGATAATGGCAGCCTTCAGAAGCGCTTTCTGTTTTCAGCCGTACTGAGATGGGGTCTATCCATCGGTCAGCGCGGTCGATGCAAAGAAGAAAAACATACCGAAAGGTGAACGGTGAACGGACGTCTAGAAGCATTTTTGATTTCTCGGCAAAGGACGTGTTCCAGAACGAGGGTATGGAACGAGTTGCCGTTATACAAATTGAAACCAAGTGAATCTAGAACTGGAATGCGACGTCAACGCTACAAGGATAATGCCGCCCCCCGGGAACATGTCACAAGCGTTCGCGCGCTTTCTTTAGACACTGGCGTCGTCGTTGGTCCTTCGCTCTTTTGGGTTCAACCTCGTGACATTGATCTGCCGAGTTCGTTCCACCGCACATCATGCATCCTTGTGTGGAGAGAACCAACAATTTCATGTGTTTCACGTATCGCTACGTATACAAGCTGCTTGCACCCCAGAGCGCGCAACCGTTGGACTAGTGATACTCGTACAACGGTCTCGATGGTCTCGTACGTTGGCGGCTCGTACAATAGCTGTTCCCGTCGTCCTCACACTGATACGCACTGCTTGTGTGTTCCTATGTAAAGTACCATAGTTCTACAGCAGTATACACATGCAGAGCGCAAGAGTGACTGTGTCATTCCTTGCTCTCGCAAAGAAGCCACACGGCTGCTCTCACGCAGAGGATAAAAAAAAACAATCCCCGTAGACTATGCAAAAACTGCCAACGTCGAGCTGCTGCCGCACCGCTCCTGCTGCAACAGTCCACTGGTCTCCGGCCGGGAACACATTGCTGCTGCGGTGAGTTCCCCCAACAGCAGCCGCAGCTATTAGGCAAGGGTACTATATGCCATAAACAACCCCACGCACCTGAGCCGCCACACAACAGGACGTGGTAGTCTTTCCCACGCCCCCCTTCCCCCCGACGAATATCCATTGCAAGCTCTCCTGGTCCACAAGGTTCTTGAGGGAGGGGTCGAGCTCGCCGAAGTCTGCCATGATGTGCTAGCCACTGCTGTTTGCTGCTGCTCTTTCTCCTTGCTGTTGGCGAATGTGTGCACTCGTTGTTGGTCCCTGCTTCTCCTTTCTCTCTCCGTCTCTGTTTTTGGGTGCTACCCCTCCAACCTTCTTCGCTTCCTGCACCCCTGCTGGGAGTGTTAGAGTAGCGCGCGAGCTGCTGTGTGCCGTGCTGCAGTACAGCGTCCTGGGTGCTGCGTGGGGTCGCAGGCTAGGGGAGGGGGGGGGGGGGGGGCTTCCTCCACAAAAATGCATAGAGGCGTTATGTGAGGTCCCGTCTCTCTCCGCTCCCATGGGAGGCATCAGGCACACACTGCTGTCGCGGTTGCCCTGCTGGTGCTAATCTCTCGGACCGACACGAAGGTGTTGGTCGATACCGACAGCTATGGTGTGGGCATCGTCCATCACGCGAAGAGGAGCGACGGTCGCGGGAGCTGCAGCCGCCCGCCGGCCTCGTTCCATCGCCGCCGCCGCACGTGTAGTACGTCGACCCGCCCTCTTTCGCGACAACAACGGCGACGAGGCCACGAAGCTCCAGCCACAGCAGCGACGGAAGCTCTGTGAGTGAGACAGGGAGGCAGGACTGCTGCTCTGTGCTTGCTGCAGCTAGCGGGATTGATTGCGCTGGTTCTAGGCCGAGAAAACTTCGTGGGCATCCCGTGTAAAGGCTTCCCCTGCCTGATGTACTGCACCTGCCGAGAGCTCCCGCAAACGACCGGCTACAACTATTTACGGCATACATATCATAGGAACAAGCTTGTGTCGGACCAGATGGCGCCTCAGTCCTTGTTGCGTATCGATGCGCTCTCCCTTTTGTATACATTATATCCACATCAGCAATGCTGCCGTTGCCTAGTGTGTTGCTGAGGTGCAGGTGCGGCACAGCTCTGTCATTATGCACTGCCTTTGCACGATCCAATGGCGTGGCTGCTGAGCGCGTCGCTGCGTGTAGCATCTTGGTCGGAAGCGCGACCTGCACCAATTGCACTCGCCATCTGTTTCCGTACTGCCATCGCAATGTCAACGAGACGCAGACCTCTCTACATTGAGAGGGACCGTTTGCTGTTTTCCCAGACGAAATTTTCCACTACTATAGTCGACCTATGAATACAACATGTGGGTACCACATATATATCTGCTACGGATCACCCGAAGAGCTTTGTCTAACCCTCTGCTTCTCTTCACGCGCTCATGCAGCGGCAAAGCCGGCCCCGGCCCCGGCCCCGGCCGCTAGCGCTGCCCCCACCCCAACAGCAACGGGTCCGGCGGCGCAGGAGAAAGGAATCAGTGGTGGAGGGGGTGGTAGTGGCGGAGATGCTGCCGAGGAGCTTTGGATTGTTGGTCGGGTCCTCGACGACATGGACACGCGGCTAGGGGCGAAACAGGAAAAGATCCGTGAGTCTTTGTTGGCGGGGGGGGAGGGGGGGGGGTGAGACGCGGGGGAGAGATTAACAGTCCAGTTATTTCTTTCGTTATTTTCTGTTTTTGATTCCGGGACCGGTGGTTTGTTCCTGCTGGCTGCTTGCTGCAGTGAAGCGGTGCGAGTGTAAATAGTATATTCACGACGCCTGCACTCTCTCTATTGTAGATAAAATTCAAACTTGTGTTTCGGTTGTGTTGTCGTGATGCCTATGGGGGGGATTCCACTTGCGACAAAATGCATACGCGGGACTGTCACGTTGACCGGTTGCCGAGGAGGCCTTGATGAGCGCCATCGTCGTGAACCATGTTCTTGATAAATCTCGACAGACGCTACTCGCAGCAGATTGCATGGGAGAGCCTCAAACGCGTGTGCGTGCAGCTCTCACCTCCGCTTCCCTCACCCGCACCACCGTGTCTCACCACCACCCCCACCTGTCGGTTGGCATGCATTCTCCCACGGGAACGAAACGCCGCGTCAAAGGGGTGCGTGAGATCGGCGTGATCGAGCGCTTCGCGGCCGTCGTCTCCGCCCTGGACGGCAGCCTGAAGCCCCGCGAAGGCGACGAGTTCCTGGCGTGGCTGCGCTCGCAGGGCTTCGACGACGCCCCCCGCACACCACAACCAGGCGGTGGTCCTCCGACAGAGGAGGACGAGACAGCAGCGGGGAAGAAGGTCGAGAATCAAGGCAACAACGGGCAGAGTGACGGCGGAGCTGCGGAGGAGCGGGCGGAAGTGGAGGCGTTTCTGTCGGCGGCGTCCGCAAGGCTCAACGCGCTCGTCGCAGACAAGGAAGACGCGCTCTTCGGGGATAGGGGCGAAGCAGAAGCAGAAGAGTCCTTGCAAGCGAAGGGGGAGCGGGGAGGGGAGGACGGGACGGCAGCCGCCGGGGGCGACGCTAGCGGGGAGCCGGTTGTCTCTCCCAACATGTCAGACGAGGACTTGTACCAGGTACGGGAGCGCGCAGGGCGGTGGGGGCATCTCGGCTGTGGTCCAATCGATATTGTTTCTGTTTCCCTGCTTGTTTGTGAATCCTTATGCACAGTATGTTGATTATGTTCCTCCGTGAATAGTGGTGTGAAACCCTGTCGACGTGATCGTTGGATAACGTGAATGTGAGCAGATACGCAGAATGTTAGCCTTCAATGGTCCCGCTTTTTTTTGTCCTTGTCCTTTTCTCGGTTGCAGGCCAAGCTCGGCGTACACAGAGCTATGCTTTGCCACTTCCTATCAATCCTGTCGTCGAGCTTGGGTAAGCAGCAGCTCAAGACTGGGCTGTCGTTGGAGGAGGTGGCGGCGGCGACGAGATCGGCTTACCTGGCCGCCCCGGAGGATAGGTTAGGTGAGGCACGGCAACCTATACAGCCAGAGAGGGACACACCGACCGTATGTTTTGGCCCCGCCTGCCTTGTCCATCCTGTCTCTTCTTTTGCAGTACCTCACGCTTGTTTGGGAGACGCTGCCGTCTGAGTGTCGTTGTTGGGACAAAAACCGCAGAATCAAGCTCGCGCGCAACGATATCAGTACCCTGGACACAATCGCAGGATCGAGCGCAGGCCAAATGAATCAGTACCCTAGACACAATCGCAGGATCAAGCGTGCGTCAAATGAATCAATGCCCTGGATACAATCGCAGGATCGAGCGCACGTCAAATGAATCAGTACCCTGGACGCAATCGTAGCGTCAAGCGCGTCCAACAAAATCATTACGTCTGGACACTTCATTCGTCATTTATCGCCTCCGATATACCCCCCAAACGCTTTATATATATATACCCCCGCAACTCTTCTTTTATACGTCCTTCTCTTACTTTCCCTTCCTCACACATATTTACAATCAAAACCCGGCCTAAACCATTTTTTTTTGCGTTTGCTACCGATCGCATTTTTTTGTGGACGTTTTCTCTCTCTCTCTCTCTCTCTCTCTCTCTCTCTCTCTCTCTCTCTCTCTCTCTCTCTCTCTCTCTCTCTCTCTCTCTCTCCCTCTCTCCCTCT